TGCCCACTGCCTCCCAGCTCTTCTGCATCTTCAACCACAACGAGGACGCCTGCCGCTACGGCATCGGCATCGGCGTCCTGGCCTTCCTCGCCTGCATCTTCTTCTTCATGGTGGACATCTACTTCCCCCAGATCAGCAACACCACCGACCGCAAGTACCTGGTGCTGGCGGATCTCGGCTTCTCAGGTACCGGCGGCCGCGGGGCCGGGCTGTGCCCGCTGCAATGGCCGACCTCGTCCCATGACGTGGCTGCTGGTGCCTGGCAAGGCAGCCGCTCCCGCTTGGCTCGCTGCCCACGGGCCACGCGCAGCCTGGGAGAGTCTGAGGAGCTGCGGGGCAGGGGCTGGGCGCCGGCATCCAGCCACCCTTGAAGGCTGGTGGGAGCTGGGTCTGGCCTGGGGACCTGCCTGCAGCAGCTGGAGGCAGCCTTGGCTCTTTGCTGTCCCAGCACCTCACGCTGTCTTTTCTCCACAGGTCTCTGGACCTTCCTCTGGTTCGTTGGGTTTTGTTTCCTGGCCAACCAGTGGGCCGGGACACGGGCTGAGGACGTGCTTGTTGGGGCTGACTCAGCCCGTGCTGCCATCACCTTCAGCTTCTTCTCTATCTTCTCCTGGGTGAGTGAGGCCACAGTGGAGCCCGGTGTGAAGGGGCTCCCTGGGTCACACTGCCCAGGGCAGCCCTCACACCGCAGGCACCACGTCTCTCTAGGGCCTCCTGATCACCTTCGCTTACAAGAGATACAAGATGGGGGTGGAGGATTTTGTTCACAGCTACATTGACCCTACCCCGGAGGTTTCGGCTCCCTACTCCAGCTACCCCAACATCAGCCATGACAGCTACCAGCAGCCGCCCTTCACCCAGACAGTGGAAGGCCCGGCCCCCCGCCGGTGTACTGAGCCCCGGCAGGATGGCTCTGCTAGTGCAATTCTCTTCTGTGGGGTGGGAAGGAGGGACCTGCAACTCGGAGGGCAAGGTGGGGCAGGGGGGTTGTGGCTGCTTTGTGTTGGGGCCACTGGCCTCAGTGCTGGTCCTGGAGGCAGAGCCGAGCTCCTTGCGGCCGGGAGCCGCAGCTCGGCATGCGGTGGGTGACTTTGCATGTCGTGTGTGATTCACAGTGCCTGAGCGTGGCTCTGGGGAGGAAGTGTGGGGCTGCTGTGTGGTTTGTTCCCCCTGGCTGTACCCTGTGCCTGTTGCCCTGGCCCATCCTGACACTGGTGGCTTTCCAGCCCTGCTGTCTGCACTCCAAGTGCCAGCTCTTGCTGCCATCTCACAGCCAGGTGGTCCAGCTCCTGCCTGCTCCCTGTGCCTTCCCCCTCAGCTGCTGCTGGCTGAGCTTGATGCCAAAGCCCTGTCCTCTTTGACTGTAACCTCCTGTGCTGTGCCTTCACCACAGCCTGCACTAGAGCTGCCAGTGCTCGGATGACACGGTTTGGGATCCGTGGGAGTGGTGAGCACTGGACTTAGCAGGGCTGTGGCTGCTCTTGGTGTCCCAGCAAGGTCCTGGAGCACTGTCCCCAAGGGCTTGGCCCCTTGCTTGCCCCCCCAGAAGCAAGGCTGCCACCCCACCCCACTGCTCCCTGGCAGCACCCAGCTCTGTTGCTGTGCTGCCATCTCAGGTTGTTTTCTGCTGCACCTGTTGTGAAGCTGTTCCCAGCAGCTGTGTGGGTATGCGAGCTGTTGCTGCTGGGGCTGGCCTTCAGAGAGTTGTTTGTCACTGTAGAGATGGAATAAACTTTTTCACTGAGCCACCATGTGCTGTTCTTCTCTGGGGAAGCAGAAGAGAAATTCCTCCTAGCTCCCTGAGGGCTGGGGGTTCCAGGCAGGGACACAGCCAAGCAGCCCCAGCCCCCCACTGGGCTGCAAACACACACAACTCTGGTGTCTATTTTTAGGCAAGCCCTCCTGCTTGTCACAGCCCGGCTGGTAGAAGGTCTGAGCAGACACCAGCCCTGTGCTCAGCCCAGTCTCTGTTGGCAGAGACTGGTTACTGTGGAGAAACCCTTTCAGAGCATTCTGGTATAACACACAGAGAGACAATTTAATTGTTATTTATTAACCTAAAACAGTAGCAGTGCTACCTTCCCTGTCCCCAAGGGGAAAGCTCAGGCCTGGCCACCAAGTGCTTGTGAGTTGTCGTCCCGCTTGAGTACCAGGGAGGGAGCGAGGGGGGGGGGGCGCGGTTCAGGCACCTCAGGAGGTGCCTCCCCCTCTCCAGAGGTGCAGGCAAACAGACCCCACATTGGCACATGGAGGTCTGACCTGGCCAGAGCCAAGAGCTGCTGCCTGGAGCTTGTGGATGCTGCCTCATAAGGAAAAGAACTTGTGGAAGGAATAAGAAAAAAAAAACAACCAACCCACCCCAAACTTCTAAAAGCCAAGTCAAGGAAGCAAAGGAGGAAAAGGCTCTATCAGGTACCTACAGCAGAGGAAAACAGCCTTGAGAATTTTTTGAAAGCTCAGGAGAGAGTAAGATACATGACTAGAGTGAAAAACTGTCCACTCAAACCAGAGACCCTTTTCCAAGGAGCTGCATCTTCACAGAAACAGCTGCTCAAATCTTCGCAGAAGTTTGAGCCTCCTGAGCCTCCAAACCCTTCCCAAGTAACTAAGCACTGAAGTAGCAGCACCAAGCTTGAACCTGAGCAAAGCCACCCTGGCTTTGGAGTGATGCCTCCAGAAGAGCTTTTCTTCCTGCTTTTCAGTTTCAACACAAATTTACAAGGCAGTTAAAGTTAATGAGTGTAACAGCAAAAGAGCAGGCCAAACACAATCGTCCAAGGGGGCTGCTAAGGACCAGGCTCCTGCTGCACATGTCAGTTGAAAAGTTGTGCCACAGCTCTACAAGGGACAGGTTATCTCATCAAACTGCTTTAAAAAAGGAAGTGGGTTTAAAATACTAAGTTACTGCACATTGTCTTAAGAAACCTAAGATTTAGCAACTGCACACAAGAAGGATGGTTGCATTCACAGGCAAGTGACCCGGCCAGCGGTGCCAGTGCTGGTGCAGGCAGAGGAACAGGAGCAGAGCTGTGGCAGTGAGGGGAGCCCTGCAGTCTGCCTGGCTGTAACAGTTCTCCAGGACCTGCTTCTGTGGCAGCATCAGTAGCTACAACTGTCTCTTTTCCATGGTCTGAACTGAGAGCACAGTGTGTGGGGGGGCAAGGTGGTCTGTCTGCTGAGCATGCAGCAAGTTTATGATTTTAAGCCTTTTGTAAGTATTCAATAAAATCCTGTTGCAATTAAAAAAAAAAAAAAAGTTGGGCTCCAGCTTCAGCTCCCCCCAGCATGAGGCCCAGTTGATCCCAGTTGGTGCAGAGGAATAGGGGCTGGGCGGGTGGAGCTGAGAAATGAGAGTTTTGCTAAAAGCAGGGGAAGGCAGATCTGGCACCTGGGAGCTGCAGCACTCAGCTTCTGTCCTCTCATTCTTCCCCCCGAGAGCCCAGCAGTCAAGAAGCGAAGATCTTCCGGGAGGCCGAGGCCTCCAGCTGCTTCACCCCCAGGGGCACGTTCTCCTTGTTCTCCAGCCCAAGCTGCTGCGGCCGCCTGCAGAAGTAGCAGGCTCGGCAGACAGAGTGGTACTTGTCTGCTCCTCCAATCACTTCAACCTGGCAAGAAATTTGGCAGAGTGACTCTTCAGGCTCTGCTGCCCCGAGGAGATCCCTCTAGACCAGCAGGACTGGCAAGATGGAGCTGCTGAAGCACATTCTGCTCCGAGGGAACTCACCTCCCTCTCTGCTCCCAGCCTCTTGGTGTAGGAGGCCTCGCGGTAGCACTCCATGCACACGGCGTTCAGCTTCACCACGCTCTCTGCCAGGGGCACCAGGTTCAGGATGCTGCCAAAAGCCTGTGCCAGGACAGCAGGGGGGTTCTGCTGGGTGGGTTCACCCAGAATCCCAACACAGCTGCTGTACTTGAAGAGTGTGGTTTACCTTTCTCTGGAAAGTCCCATCAAGAGCAGCAACGATGACAGTTTTACCAGCATTGGCCATCATCTCACAGAAGTCCACAATGTCTGGGAACTAGAGGAGGCACAAAGAGCATCAGGGGAAAGCAGGGGCAGCACTTAGCTCAGGATACAGCAGCAAAGGGTACAAAGAAAGTTAGCCATGTTACCTATCCAGCCCTGTTTTCCTCAGCCTGCATGGACTAAGGAAAGGGTTTGACTGTATGAGTATGGTCCAGTGGGATCAAACCTCCCCAGGGTATTGTGTCCCACCCCCTGCCCGTGCCTTCCCCCTCAGCTGCTGCTGGCTGAGCTTGATGCCAAAGCCCTGTCCTCTTTGACTGTAACCTCCTGTGCTGTGCCTTCACCACAGCCTGCACTAGAGCTGCCAGTGCTCGGATGACACGGTTTGGGATCCGTGGGAGTGGTGAGCACTGGACTTAGCAGGGCTGTGGCTGCTCTTGGTGTCCCAGCAAGGTCCTGGAGCACTGTCCCCAAGGGCTTGGCCCCTTGCTTGCCCCCCCAGAAGCAAGGCTGCCACCCCACCCCACTGCTCCCTGGCAGCACCCAGCTCTGTTGCTGTGCTGCCATCTCAGGTTGTTTTCTGCTGCACCTGTTGTGAAGCTGTTCCCAGCAGCTGTGTGGGTATGCGAGCTGTTGCTGCTGGGGCTGGCCTTCAGAGAGTTGTTTGTCACTGTAGAGATGGAATAAACTTTTTCACTGAGCCACCATGTGCTGTTCTTCTCTGGGGAAGCAGAAGAGAAATTCCTCCTAGCTCCCTGAGGGCTGGGGGTTCCAGGCAGGGACACAGCCAAGCAGCCCCAGCCCCCCACTGGGCTGCAAACACACACAACTCTGGTGTCTATTTTTAGGCAAGCCCTCCTGCTTGTCACAGCCCGGCTGGTAGAAGGTCTGAGCAGACACCAGCCCTGTGCTCAGCCCAGTCTCTGTTGGCAGAGACTGGTTACTGTGGAGAAACCCTTTCAGAGCATTCTGGTATAACACACAGAGAGACAATTTAATTGTTATTTATTAACCTAAAACAGTAGCAGTGCTGCCTTCCCTGTCCCCAAGGGGAAAGCTCAGGCCTGGCCACCAAGTGCTTGTGAGTACAATTGTCATCCCTCTTGAGTACCACAGAGGGAGCGAGGGGGGGGGGGGCGCGGTTCAGGCACCTCAGGAGGTGCCTCCCCCTCTCCAGAGGTGCAGGCAAACAGACCCCACATTGGCACATGGAGGTCTGACCTGGCCAGAGCCAAGAGCTGCTGCCTGGAGCTTGTGGATGCTGCCTCATAAGAAAAAGAACTTGTGGAAGGAATAAGAAAAAAAAAACAACCAACCCACCCCAAACTTCTAAAAGCCAAGTCAAGGAAGCAAAGGAGGAAAAGGCTCTATCAGGTACCTACAGCAGAGGAAAACAGCCTTGAGAATTTTTTGAAAGCTCAGGAGAGAGTAAGATACATGACTAGAGTGAAAAACTGTCCACTCAAACCAGAGACCCTTTTCCAAGGAGCTGCATCTTCACAGAAACAGCTGCTCAAATCTTCGCAGAAGTTTGAGCCTCCTGAGCCTCCAAACCCTTCCCAAGTAACTAAGCACTGAAGTAGCAGCACCAAGCTTGAACCTGAGCAAAGCCACCCTGGCTTTGGAGTGATGCCTCCAGAAGAGCTTTTCTTCCTGCTTTTCAGTTTCAACACAAATTTACAAGGCAGTTAAAGTTAATGAGTGTAACAGCAAAAGAGCAGGCCAAACACAATCGTCCAAGGGGGCTGCTAAGGACCAGGCTCCTGCTGCACATGTCAGTTGAAAAGTTGTGCCACAGCTCTACAAGGGACAGGTTATCTCATCAAACTGCTTTAAAAAAGGAAGTGGGTTTAAAATACTAAGTTACTGCACATTGTCTTAAGAAACCTAAAATTTAGCAACTGCACACAAGGATGGTTGCATTCACAAGCAAGTGACCCGGCCAGCGGTGCCAGTGCTGGTGCAGGCAGAGGAACAGGAGCAGAGCTGTGGCAGTGAGGGGAGCCCTGCAGTCTGCCTGGCTGTAACAGTTCTCCAGGACCTGCTTCTGTGGCAGCATCAGTAGCTACAACTGTCTCTTTTCCATGGTCTGAACTGAGAGCACAGTGTGTGGGGGGGCCAGGTGGTCTGTCTGCTGAGCATGCAGCAAGTTTATGATTTTAAGCCTTTTGTAAGTATTCAATAAAATCCTGTTGCAATTAAAAAAAAAAAAAAAGTTGGGCTCCAGCTTCAGCTCCCCCCAGCATGAGGCCCAGTTGATCCCAGTTGGTGCAGAGGAATAGGGGCTGGGCAGGTGGAGCTGAGAAATGAGAGTTTTGCTAAAAGCAGGGGAAGGCAGATCTGGCACCTGGGAGCTGCAGCACTCAGCTTCTGTCCTCTCATTCTTCCCCACGAGAGCCCAGCAGTCAAGAAGCGAAGATCTTCCGGGAGGCCGAGGCCTCCAGCTGCTTCACCCCCAGGGGCACGTTCTCCTTGTTCTCCAGCCCAAGCTGCTGCGGCCGCCTGCAGAAGTAGCAGGCTCGGCAGACAGAGTGGTACTTGTCTGCTCCTCCAATCACTTCAACCTGGCAAGAAATTTGGCAGAGTGACTCTTCAGGCTCTGCTGCCCCGAGGAGATCCCTCTAGACCAGCAGGACTGGCAAGATGGAGCTGCTGAAGCACATTCTGCTCCGAGGGAACTCACCTCCCTCTCTGCTCCCAGCCTCTTGGTGTAGGAGGCCTCGCGGTAGCACTCCATGCACACGGCGTTCAGCTTCACCACGCTCTCTGCCAGGGGCACCAGGTTCAGGATGCTGCCAAAAGCCTGTGCCAGGACAGCAGGGGGGTTCTGCTGGGTGGGTTCACCCAGAATCCCAACACAGCTGCTGTACTTGAAGAGTGTGGTTTACCTTTCTCTGGAAAGTCCCATCAAGAGCAGCAACGATGACAGTTTTACCAGCATTGGCCATCATCTCACAGAAGTCCACAATGTCTGGGAACTAGAGGAGGCACAAAGAGCATCAGGGGAAAGCAGGGGCAGCACTTAGCTCAGGATACAGCAGCAAAGGGTACAAAGAAAGTTAGCCATGTTACCTATCCAGCCCTGTTTTCCTCAGCCTGCATGGACTAAGGAAAGGGTTTGACTGTATGAGTATGGTCCAGTGGGATCAAACCTCCCCAGGGTATTGTGTCCCACCCCCTGCTACAGAAGATTCAGACCTTCTCCTGCACAGGGTGCTCTGAAGGGGCTGGGACCTGCAGAGCACCCCAGGACCTGTCCTGGCTGCACACTTACAAACTGGCCCTCGTCAATGCCAATGACTGCAGAGCCCAGAGCCTCCTGGTATACGTCCTTGAGCAAGCAGGCAGGTAGGGCCTCCATGGTGCTCCTGCGGGGAGGGAGAGGGAGTGAGCCAGGCAGCAGGGCGTGGGGCCGGCAGGGCAGGGTCTGCCCCACGACCCACCTGTCATGTGTAGAGACACCGGAGGTGCAGTAACGTGTGTCCTTGGCGTATTTCACCAGCAGGCACTTGTACTGGGCGAGCTGGAACCGCCGCACGCGTCGCATGAG